TGGCCATCTTTCGGTGGAAGGGGTCCAGAGATCCCGTCGGCGTCGAACGGCTGAAGCGGCCCCTTTCCTTCCGCTGAGCGCGTTTCATGTCGCCCGCTGCGACGACTGCTGATGTGCGCTCCGTCCCTCGTGACAAATCTGCGTTGGGCGCTTGTTTCTCGTGGGCCTGCTGGGCGGGGGACAAGACGGGGGGCTCGGGGTTCATTCGCGACGGGTTGCGTCCGCTGCGACCGACGAGTTTTGCCACTTTCTTGCGGGCAGTGAAAGAGTTGCCGACGGTTCGGCCAGCCGAGGAGTTCCTCGCGAGCTGAATCGGGCCGCCCATGCTGGGGCCCGTGCGTCATCGAAGCGCGCGCCCTGGGCGCGGTTTGGCATGGCGCCCCGTGGACTGCCCAGTTGGGCGAGCATGTCGGGGCGGGCGCTGAGCAGCCTGGCCACAGGCAGTAGCGATGTGCACAGCGACAGTTCGGGGGCCGCCCGCTCGGCCTCTGCGAGGCCCGAGGCCCGGATGGGCCGCTGGTGGTTTTCATTGGCTTGCGTCGGAGGGTAGTGGCCGAAGATGGCCATGCCCCCCTCCCACGCGCGCTGGCCCGCCGGTCCTGGGGCGGGGTCGAGGCTCTCACCCCGCGCGAACGCAATCTAATTCTGGTCAGTGCTGGCGCAGACCGCTTTGCGAAACATGCCGTGGATTTGCGTCCTAGTTGTGCCCCGTCACGAGCTGTGGCGACTGGGCTCCGACGTTGCTCTGCTCCGCAGTCTGCTGTCTATGTTGTTGTTGTGCCCTCTCCCTTTCGGAAGCTTGCGTTTCGCCGGGCCTGCGCCGTCTGTTTTCTGTCTCCGTTTCGGCGCCTGCGCGAGTAAGCGAAGCAGTGTTCCAAAATGGCTGGCCGGTGCGACGGCGGGCCAGGTCCGCCCGGCAGCGAATTCGCAGGGGCCCCCATCCTCGTTGCAGATTTGAGACCGTTGCTGCGGATTTTTGCATTACATGTTGTGCCTCGACCGAGTTTGCGGTGCTATCAGCGCCCTGTGGTCTCGCACCCTCGCCCGCGATCCTTCTTTCGGATCCCCGGCGGCCGCGGAGGTGTTGGCAGCGGCAACATCGCGAAAATTGCGAAAGTGAAGTTAATCGATGCGAGTCTTGCGCGCGCCCTGGCACCCCCGCTTCTCCGCCAGATGATTGTAATATTCACGCGGAACAAGCGTAGGGCGCGGCAGAGACCATTGCGGGGGCGCACGTGGGCGCCGCGCCACTCGCTGGCAGCTCAGCCGCAGGTTTATGCAGTGCGGGCCTTCCTGACGGGCCTGGGCGGCGTGCGCGGCTTGCGGTCACCTGGGCCCGGCGGGCCTGGGCGGTGTGCGCGGCTCGCGGTTGCTAGAGGTCCACGAGGCGTGGTTACTTGATCACATGTTGCGGTCGTACCAGTCACCGCGCGACCACGAGTCGCGGCGGTCGCGCTGCGTGTTTCCGCCCTTGCCGTTGCCGCTGGAGCTTTTTGCCCCGCCTTTGCTGCCGCCGCCTGAGCCCGCGTCGGGCCTCTCATTGCGGTCGTGCGCATCCTCGGCTTGCGCGGCGCGAGGGCATCGCAGACTGCCCGCGCGCTGCGCACCTGGCCGTGCCCTACCTGGCGCAAGACCCACGAGCTGAATTTCACGGCCGCCTTCTCCGTGTTGAAATCATGCTCGCCAGCCCTCGCTCACTCGGCCCACGTAGACCGCGCGAGCTCACAGAGCGAAAGCGGCAGCGCATCCCCGGCGCACGCTGCGCGCCTGGCCTGGTCGCTGTATACTGCCAAGTGGGCGCGGCGCTTGTGCGCGCGGGCATTCACTGCCACGCGCGTGCAGATCCCGCGATGCGCCCAGGACGCCGCCAGGCTGAGCTGGCCAGTCGCGGCCGCCGCCCGTGCGTACCTGTGCGAAACGCAAAAGCGATTTTCGCGGCGGCGCTGCTTCGCGCGACAGCGGCGCCTGTTCCATGACCAACGTCTTGCGCTTCCCCTCTTGGCCGTTGGCCTTGATGGCATTGGCCAGGTCGAGAAGATGCTGCCGCGATAGCAACGCGTTGCGCAAGTTCGATCGCGTGGCCAGCGCGCCTTGGAGAGATTGTTCTCAGCGCCCTCTTCTTGGAGGACCTTTGAGGGCCGCGAATTCAGGGGGCCGATTCTTTAAACCGACCAGCGCAAACGGCGAAGCAATTCCGACGTTCTTAAGCTTGGCCGCCTGTGCAGCCAGTTCGGCCGCGCGATGTGAACTGCGCGCGACGCGACGCCGAAACTGCGCCGCGCGCGCGGGCGAGCGCGAGCGCCTGGGCCAAAATTCCACGGGCAATCCTTCCATCCTGATGAAAGACGCCACGCTAGCAAGCTCGAGGTGCGCCGCCTGCGTGGCACCGCCGCGCGCGCAGCCCCAGCGGGCGCGGCGCCTCGTCTGGTTTCTTTCCTGGAAGTAACGCTTTAAGCGCCGCCCCTGGGACCGCGACCCCGGGCTTCGCCGCGCTTTCCTCGGCGGCGGCGGCGAGGGCCTTGCGCGCGTGGGCCTTCTGTCCAGCATCGAGTCCATTCTCTCCCGTAGAGAACGCGAAATCCTCGACGCGGGCGTCCGCGAGCTCGCGCCAGTTCCGCGCGCCAGCTGCGTGCAGCCCAGCGGCAATCGTGGCGCACCAGCCGGGATCGCGACCCTCAGCGCCCTCGGCCTTGCAGTGCGCTTCGGTCAGCGCCATCCTCGCAGCCTCGCCCGCCATCGCAATCAGAGAGTCAAGCGATGCTATATTCGCGCGCACCCTGGCGCCGCCGCGCGTGGTCGCGCCGGCCCCCGCCCTGCGGCGCTCCTGAACGGCGCGCCAGATGGCGCGAAGAGGCGACGCGGCCGCGCATGGGCCGCCGAGCAAAGACCCCCCGGGTCGGCTGGCAAAAACAAGCCACGCTTGGGCTGTACTGCGGACGATGGGACAGAACGCGGCACGCGGCGTCGCATGGGCGGCGTGCGCGCCACGAGCCCCGCGTGGCCCCCTCCCCAGAGAGGCGGGCCCACGGCGCGCACAGCCGCGCGCGCGGACGGGCCCCACGAGGCCACCCCAACGCCACCCGCACCGCGATGCGGTGGCCCAGTGCCGCGGGGCACGTGCCCGCCAGCTTCCACAGCCTTGGCTAACGGGCCAGCAGCCGCACTTGGGCTGACCGCGGACAAGAGAGCGCAGGGAAGCAGGAGCGGCAACCGCGCAGGCAGAAGCGCACCAGCATCCCTTCCCCACCCACGGCCCCGCACCCCGACCCCCCGCCCCGCCCCAAGGACGAGGAGAGGGCAGGGGATCGGGGCAGACGCAGGGGCAGCATTCGTGCCAGCCCACAAACCCTGCGACAGTGCGAGCACTGTCCCCGAGTTTGCGAGCTCATTTCTCGATTTAATGTCGCGTGAGCAACCCCTGACACATCCCGCTCGTGATGCCGCCCCTGCCTCCTCCTCTCGCTTGTGATGGGGCCGAACCAGCTGAATTCGAAGATGTCATTGGGTCGTTTGCTTAGCGTTTGTTTTCTATGGCGAGAGTAAAGACTGACCGCCGATGCTATTGTTCTCTCTTGTCCCTGATTCGTTTCCCTTTTGCCCCCCTCTCCCCCGCTTTCTCTTGCATCCGGTGCACTTGTAATCGCGTTGGCTAAGGGGCAGTCGCAGTTGGAGGCCCAGGGAAAATCTTGCCGAGACCATCTATCTCCCAGTCGACATGCGTCTCCTCGGGCGACGACGTCCTTTTGCGAGGCTCGGTCCCTCGTGGTTCGACGTAGAGCTATCCAGGTCCACCGCAACGGGAACCGACGTCCTGGACCCCCAGGGTCGGTGGATAGCATTCTGGCCCCCCCGTGGCCTGACTCTGTCAATATCCTCCGCCTGCCGAAACCCCCGAGGATGCCCCCCCACAGTTCATTTTTGATCAGTCCCTGTATCATCAAGGGAGGGAAAACCACTCGGACCGGACAGTTGGAGTTTACTAAACGGCCTTGGGCGTTTACCAAACAGCCCTGCCCCGTTTTCTTTTGTAGGGTGCGTTTACTAAACGGCTTTTCGTTTCGCGGTGGCTACTATCGGGGTGAATTTTCTGCGTTCTATATCAGAATGATCACCCTCTGCGGAGCTTCGGTTCTGGTTCGAGGGCACGGGCCCGACGGGCGCTGCGGGTCGCTGCCTTGGGTTCGCGTCAGGCGTTGCCTACTAGCGATCGCCTTGGTAGCAGGAGCTTCTTCGCACCTACCTTGCGCCCCTCCCTGCCGGCGAAGACTCCTTTCAGAACCACACCATGTGAGTGTGCACTACTCTTGTTCCTTCCCGGGTTCTGCGCGAACGGGGCCCAGGGTGTTGTTTTCAGGGCATCGGGTTTAAGCGCGCGCGATGCATTCTTGCTTTTTGTTTGTGCCTTTCTTGTGATCTTCAAGAGGACGTTCCCGACTCAACGCTGGCCTCATTTCAGGATCCGCGGTTGGCTCGTGTCGTTCGGAGTGGCGTTCTCGCCCCAGCGCGGGCTACAGCTCTCCGATTCTGCGAACAGAAAGGGTTTCAAATCAATAGACAGGGATGGAAGCGATGAGCAGGACGTCACATATATCCTCATTAGCTGACTTCCCCTCCCTTTATCCCTCCCCCACTTCTTCCTCTCTCCCTCCACCCCTCCTCTCTCCCCTCACCTCCCCTCCTCCCTCCCCCACCCCTCATCCTCCTCCCGCCCCCACCCCTCATCCTCCTCCCTTCCTCCACCACTTCTCCTCCGTCTTCCCCTCTCTGCCCGTCCCCTCCTCCATCCCTTCCCCTCCTCACTCCCCCACCCCTCCCCCCCCCTCCCATCCCGCCCCGCCCCCGCCCCCGCCCCCTCCCGTCCCCATTCCCTTCGCTCCCCGCTCCTCCACTTCCATCCCCAGCCCCTCCCCGTCCACTCCTCTTCCCCTTTCTCCCCTCGCACTGGTCCGCGGCCTCGTGCGAGCTTTTCCTGACCGTTGCCCCTGCGGCAGCCGTCGGAGGCTATACGACCAGCGGAGCGTGATCACAGGGGAGGTCAAGAGCCTGACTGAGAAGGCGGCGGCGGCGGAGGAGGATGGAGAGGACGACGGGGAAAAGGACAGGGAGGAGGACGGGGAGGAACAGGGAGTTGGCGGCTGAGAAGAAGCAGGAGGAGGTGGAGGAGAGTCAGGAGACGGATTCCATGCGTTCCTGCCTTTGGCCCTCCTTTTTTGGGGAAGCTGCTCGTGCGTTTCCTCTACGGGCCCGCCTACACACACACACTCGCACACGCGCACTCACAAACACACACACACACACACTCGCTCACTGACTCACTTACACACGATTACACAAACTTGCACACGCACACACACACACGCACACGCACACGCATACACTTACACGCACACGCACAAACACGTGGAAGGAACATGTGCCTTGCTCTAATTTCGATAAGTATAGCACTTGTGATACCAGGGACAGGACAAAATCTCTCTCGCCCTGTATGTGCGTGCGCACATGTACATTGGGTATTCACATCATACGTAGATACATACATAATTACGTACGTACGTACATCAGTCACGACTGCTGCCGTGGCCTTCTTCCACTTCGAGGCTACATTCGAGGCTGCATTCCCGAGCGTCTCGCAGGAGTTCTTGATGGACGTGCTCGCCTCTCGCCGGTGGCCCCCTTGGAACATCTGGTTCGTCCAGGCGATATATCAGGCCAACACTTCCCGCATCGAGGTGGGGGTCAGAGCTATTCGGGCTTCACGCTGATTGCAGGTGTGCATCAAGGATGCCCACTCTCTCCCCTCCTCTTCTCCATCGTGTCCGACGTCCTTCTCCGCCGCCTCCTGCGTACGATCCCAGATGTTGCCCCCCGCGCGTGCGCCGACGACCTCGCCATCGTTCTCGCCCGGGGCGTCCGTGGCGCCGCCGTCCTGGAGCCGCTCTTCCACGAGTGCGCGGCAATGTCTGGTCTCCGCCTACACCACGGCAAATCAGCGTGGGTGCCGTTATGCTTGACGCCGCCGTCCTCCGTGCGCGAGACGACCTCCATGCCGCTGCGCCCGCCTGGGCGGATTTTTCGGCATCCAGAGGTACGCCACCTGCTTGGGCTTCGAGGTCGGCCCGGAGCGCGGCGAAAGGACCTGCAACAAGGTAATCGAGAAGGCCATCCAGCGGGCCCGGCTCTGGAGGGCGGTTGGGGGGGCCTCATCCTTACCATCATGGCTCCTACCGCTTTTACATGTTCCTTATGTTTTCTTTCCTGATCCAACTTGACAGGGCGCCTCCGTGCTGGCAGGCCGTGGGAATTCAGTTGTGTGCTATTTTATATCCTGGCCCCCGCGGCTGGGCTCCACAGGGAACGCTGCGGAACTTGAGGGTCCTGGGTTTCCACGCCGATCTCCCCGATCTCCATTCGTACGCGTTCGCTGCCAAGTGCCGCGTCCACAGGTGGGAAACCGGCGCGGACGGAGGCCTGCGCATCGAGCCGCGGCAGAGGCATCTGCGCACCATGGCCTCCTACGCCGACCGTTGGGATCGCATCGCAGCTTGGAACAGGCGGTACGGCCCAAGATAAGCCGGAGCACCTTGCGCGCGCCGCCAGCGCCACGGTCGCATTGCTCGTGCAGGGCCAGTCGTCGCACCCCACGCCCCGCACGGAGTGGCAGAAGCGGTGCCACGGACTACTCCATGCAGTTCAGAGGAACACAGTATTCCGGCACCTGCGCTGGAGGTTAGATAAATACAACCTGAACCTCCTCCCGGGCAGGCGCGTGGAACAAGCCACGGCCGTCTTGCAGGGTCTGGCTCACGAGGTGTCCCCTCGCGTCTGGGCGGTGTTGTCCAAGACGTATGCCAATGGCCGGACGACGCCTCGGGATTTCCAGACAGGGGCGGCATGTGTGTTCGGATGCGGACGGTGCGAGGACAGTATACGCCACTACGCATGCTGTCCCACGATCGCCCACGTCGCCCGCGTGATGCATGCCGACCTGGACCGTCGACCAGCTTCTGGTGCTCCAACCCCGGCTCACGACCCACACAGTGAGCGAGCTGGCGCGTAGAGCAATCTGTCTCTTCGCCGTGCACTTAGCATCGCTCGGACGTGTGTATTTTTCCTTCGGCGAGGACAATCAAGGAGCATCCTTGATCATTAGGCGAAAAAACCACGCACGAAACCGACAAAAAACACAGGGAATGAACGTCCAAGCGATGGCGAGTGCACTCCGCCATGGCAGCGCGACGGCACGGCGGCACGACGAGCGCCGCCGAGGCGCTAGCTCAATTTCTGCGCGAGAGGCGTGCGCCGCGCACCCCCGAGCTGCGGAGGATTGCCCGAGCTGCGTGGCTGCCCTGGCCTTCCCCCTCCTCCTGCTCTCCTGCCGCTGCTGCTGCTGCTGTTGCCGCTGGTGCTTTTCGTCGTGTCTGTCGTCCTCGGGTCCCCGCTCTCGTAGTGGCGCGTGGTGCAGAAGGCTCCACAGTCAGCGTTTCGTGGCAGGATGTGCGACCGGTCGCCGCACGGCAGGCGAGTTCTCCCAAGTCCGGGGATCGTGTTGGTTATTTTTTCTCCTCCTTCCTCCTCCTGGTTTCTTCCGCTTCCGTTTTCGCTCCCGCCTCACGCGCCGTAGAAATTTGGGCATATTTTCTATCAGCCGCGTCGCCGTGCGGGTTGCTTGTTTCTTTGTTGTACTGTGCACTGTCCTTGTGTGCTGCCTTTTTATATGAAAGGTCGGTTGGACCGTGTGGGGGTGCACGCACAGCGCCATGGGGTGCTGTAAATGTCATGGGGCCAGTGCGGCGCAGCCGGCGTCATATGTTAAAGCAGTTTCTCGCCCAGTCCGGCGTCTCCCTCAGTAAAATCAATTGTAGTCAAGGCTCCGCTACAGACAGCAGATCACAGCATCCCAATTTGACTACCCACATGGCCTTGCCTTGCCGAGAAAGCTCGGTCTCAAGTAACATTTTGCAGTTGGACTGCTCAGGAAAGAGTATTTGCATTAGTCCTAAACATACCCTTACCCAGGGTCGGCCTGGGTGTCAGGGGTCGTCCGCTGGATTGGGCGCTTGCCATTGCGCCCGATCGGCCTGCCACGTGCGCGCTGGTTCAGCATCCGCGCGTCAGGACGCAACGACACCCTGAATGGCTGGCTGTTTGATAGCAGCGCCGTGCCCTGGTTTGCGTCAGGTACGCCTGTGGGCATCGGGGGTGTCCGCGGGGCTTGGGACAGCATTGGAGTGGTGGTACCTGTCCCAGTTGGGGACAGGCACCACCATTCCGTTGCGTTTGGGCCTGCCCGCAGGAGCGTCGTTGCAATCTCACGCCCCCCCCCGGGGCCGATGCGGCCGCGTCCGGAAGAGCTCTCCGCGGCCGCGCGTGCGCCCGAGAGCGATTTTGGCCAGGCGCCACCTCGATTAGCTACGGGTCTGTCTCCGGGGGTACCGTCAACGCGCGTCGGCGACGGTGCCCCCCGACACATACCCGAACCTAGCTGGAGTGACGCCAGGCGGGCTTTCTGGGAGCAGCCCCAAGCGACCGCGCCTGGCGTTCGGAGCGCCGGGCGTTTGGGGCGAGTGTGGGATTGCTGCGGCGCCCGCCCAGGACACCCAGGACGCATTTTGCGCGTCGAGCCCCAAACGCTTGATTGTGCGCATTCGTGGGCGCACTTCCGCACGAGTTATTCTGGCCCGACGGCGACCATTGCGCGGTCGGCCGCTCTGCCGAATGGAACGCACGCGCCCCCGCCGCCAGCGGATCCCCGGAGAAGACAGCGTCCTGTAATGTACCTTGGGCCGTCGCGCCTGCACTTGTGCAACCGCCGTCGGCTGCGGCGTGTCGCCCCCCCGCCCCTTGCCGCCCCGCCTGGGTACGGGTAAGGGTTTCGCGCTCGAGATCTTTGAATCTCCGCCCTTTAATATACATATTTGGAACACATGCACATACATATATACGTACATACTACATACATACAAACATACATGCATACATACGTATACGACACGCCGATACATACATCGCAGTTTGCCGAGCTTCCTAGAAATGTTTGTCATTGTTGTTGACGCCGCGCGAAGGGCAGACTCGAACCACCCCCTCGTCGGCCACCTTCGAGCGTACATGTGCTGCACGCTGGGCACCCATCCCCCCTGAGCTCCCCGGCCCGCATCGCCACCGCACTTGGGTTGTAGGACGCATGCCTTTCGGTGCCCCCTTTCGGCGGCGAGCTCAGGGGGAAGTGAGAGGGGCCAGTCCTTTTCAGGAGGCGGCGGGGTTTCTCAGAAACCCTGGCGCTTTCTCCGGGAAGCCGCCCATGCCCTCGGAGAGGACTTGGCAGACTTGTCAGCAGGCGCCTGGTCTTCTGAGAAGCCCCTTTGCCATCTGAGTAGGCCTGTTCCCTCTCACTTCCCCCCTGAGGTCGCCGCCAATTCGTGGCCCGTCATGCGGGAGGCGCCAAGGAAAACACCCCAGCAGGCACGCCAGGAGCTCCGGGAAATTTGAGAGCTTCGGGTCTGGACCCTTCAAGTCCAATCCTGACGAATGAGGGTCTACGAGGAGCCTGAGGGCACCCCGACTCGTGCCCTGCGGCATGTGGCGGGTGGTTGGACACGGTGGAGGGTGCTGAATTCGGCAGTGCGTCGAGAGGGGAAGCGAGAGGGGGCAGGCCTTCTCAGAAGCGGCGGGGCTTCTCAAGAGCCCCCGGGCCGTGGGGGAGGCAGCGGCCTCGGAGAAGTCTTGGGACGCTTCTCGTGAGGCTGGATGCATTCTGAGCCTTTTCAGAAGGCCGGTTCCCCCTGTCTTCCCCCTGGACGCGCCGCCGAATTCTGGGTCGTTCGGGGCTGTGTCTATGTAGTCGTTTGCCCAAGGTGGTGAGAAGACAGAAGCCAGAACCCACGAGAGCCCAAGCGCCTTGAAAAGAGAAGTCCGAACCGCTTTCGTGTTTAATTGTTCCCCCCTTGCGCTGGATGCTATACAGATGCTACCGAGGAGCAAATCCTGGCACCCCCCAGGCAGCTCTTTCCAGCAGTGGTCGTGCCAGACGGCAGGCCTGACGAGGATAAGCCAAGTTCGTTTGAGCTTTATTGATCGTGGAGCCAGCGCGCATGGATAGTCGAGCTTTGCGATGGAAGCCGCTCTTGTCATGATCATTTTATGGGGCGTGCCCATGGGCTCTACGAACATCGCCCATGCCTGGTTACTTCATTCCACCGACGAGTATTTCGAAGTTCTACGACCACTCGTATCAACGGGAACGGCGGTCACTGTGACGTTGACGTCGACGCGGTTGCAACGTATTTCATGTTGGCATTCGGCATGGCCAGATTTGTTTCACCTTTTGTGGTGCGCGGGTCAGTGTGTGGAGTATCTCAGCAGACATCAGTACAGCAGGGGTCGCCCGGACTTTCGCTCAAGCATCACGGAGTCAGTCCAGCCAGCACACGGTGTGCGGTGTGTTGGGTGGGGAGGAGGTCTGAGGCGACGATCGGGGCGAACAGCCTAGGGGAGAGTAATACATGTATTCAGGTGCGCCGATGATGTATGTCTTCGAAAAGGCTCCCGGGCGAGTGCGTATCATGCTCGCCCCTGGGCTATTCGCCCCTACCGTCGCCGCCGAGGAGGGAGCGGGCGTGACGTGGGCGGGGGGAGGGGGGGAGGGGGCCAGCCACGTCACGATCTGCGCAGGCGCCGCCTGGGGATGCCGAGGTCAGGAAGCGCTGCTTCCCGCACGGCGCCAGCGCAAATCGTTTGCCGTGGCCTGGGAGGAGGGGGGGGGGTGGCGCGTGGCCGCTCGCGGGCGGTGCCACGAAGCAGGCAGAAGGGGCTCCAGGCTCCGATGGGGGAGGGTCGCGTCGCCGCAGCTTGCGGCTCCGACGCGTGTGGCTCAGAGCTCTCGGGCCAGACGAAAGGGGGGGATTGGGAAAGGGGGGGTTACGAAGTTTGCTGCATGCAGCTGGTTTCGGCCCCACCGAGGGGCCCATTCCTCGAAACTTAGGCGCCGGGGAAATCAGCTACGTGAGCTGATTCTCAACCCCCCCTTGCTATCCCCCCCTTTCGCCCGACCCGAAACTCTCAGTTGGCGTGTGCAGCAGATCGATTCGTCGCCCGCCGCCCGCGAGGTAGTGTCGGGCCAGGCCGAGAAGGCGCAGCTTCAGGAGAAGGCGGCTGCCACCGAGACCGAGAAGGCGGCGTTCTTAGCGGTTCCCGATTTCTCACATCGTAGTCCGGAGGGAGGAGGAGGAGGAGCAGGATGAGGAGGAGACGGACTGACGTGGATTGACGTCCGATAAACTCAAACAGAAAGTCAGGAGGAGGAGTAGGAGGAGGAGGAGGAGGAGGAGCAGGGGAGGGAAGATGGTTAGGCTATCGAATTTTGGTCCTTCTGGCTCCCTTGGGGCCTCCAGAGGCCCTGTGGGGGCCTGGGGTCACGCGAGGGGCCCCAGAGACACTCGAGACCACCCAGGAGCGCCCGAGACACTCCGTGAGTTGGGGCGTCGGGGGCCTTCAAACGTTTGCGACACTTGCGATCCAGTGCTCTTAGGGGACGAGCGCTCCACCCAGTGCATGCGGCTCAGCGGTGGATGACGGGAGGCGCGCTGTGACTGGAAGAGTCGTTCAGTGGAGTTTGGTTTTCTCGGCACGAGCGACATGGGTACGGAAAGAACGTCAGGCGATCGCAAACACGGATTAAGAGAGCGTGGATTGGCGACGGGTCCTGTTTCCATGGGGCATCGCTGATCTCCGCCGCCGAACGCGGCGGCACCGGCCGCCTTTTGGGGAGCATTTCCCCCGATCCATGGATTTGCCAAATCCGTGGGTCGCTAATCCATGTTTGCGCGTCCTCGAGGATGTGTACAATGCCCGACAGCAGTTCCTGTTCATTCTGAACAGGGCTCGCTGTCCGCGCCTCCGCGGCCTGTGTCCACTTGAGACGGATGGCCGCCTGTCCAACAGCGGCCGCTGCTGGTCTGGGACAACAGTTGTTGCTGGGCATTGTGCCAATTTTTCCCTACACATTTCGGGCGTCTAAATCTTCGACCCAGGGGATCGGATGTTGCGGGTTGTAGCGAAGTAACCCCAACTAGCTGTTTGAGTTCGAGTCTTTGGTGCGGGCGAGAGAAGTTGCAAGAGGACGGTCACGTATCGATTGCAGCCAGATGAAGCCAAGCCAGACAATTTGTCTCTCCGCGGGTGTCTTGTCGTTGTGGTCCGCCGTGGTTGCCCTGTGGTTGTTCTGTGAGTTGTCCTGTGGTTGTTCCGGGTTTGTCCCGTGGATTGTCCCGTGATTGTCCCGTGAGTTGTCCCGTGGATGTTCCGTGGGTCGTTATGTGGCTGTCGCGTGGGTTATCCCGCGGATGGTAAGTGGTTGTCCTGAGGGTGGTCCCGTGATTTTCCTGCGGGCCGCCGCGAAGGTTCTCATTCGGTTGTCCAGTGGGTTGTCCAGTGGTTGTTCCGCGGTTGTCCCGTGGGCTGTCTTGGTGATCGTCTCAGGGGTCGTCCCGCGTTGGCGCAGTCTCGCGGCCAATCGGGCCCAGTGAGCGACGAGGCCCGTTGATGCGGCATTGTGCTCCGACCATACTTGCACAAGCTGTCTGGCGTTCCACATGCACCACCACACTCAGGAGGGGAACAACACACACAGACAATTCATCGTCGATCCCCTGGAAAGTATGGGGAAATATGGACAATAGGGGGGAAAACGAAAACCCAGAAAATCTATGGATTCATGGGGAATCCTCGGATTTGTGTGTATTTGTTTGTGTGTCCCAGGGTCCCAGGGCCCCTTTACACCAGTGTGCAGGGCTTCTGCCTAAGGCCCGCGCCGCACGGCGCAGCCGCTCGCGTTCTCGCCCAGACGACGGCTCGCCTCCCCGTCTCCCCCGATGGCAGGCAATCGTGACTAGGCATTGTTTGATGTTCGCTCGATGCTCCTCCTCCTCCTCCTCCTCCTCCTCCTCCTCCTCCTCTTCCTCCCTCCCCCGCATAAGCCGGGGGCCCGGTGAGCACACCGGGATAGCTGGGGAACCCAAAGTGGTCGGCGCTGCCTGTATCGGCGGGGTACAACTAGAGCTGGCGACCAACCGCAGGACTGGTGGAGGGCGGCGGGGGGGCTCTGGCGCCCAGGCCCGCTTGCCCAGTAGTTGAGTGAGGCGCGCCGCACCTTGTCGTACGAACCAGCCTGGCCGCATGTGAGCGCCAGGGCTCTCAGAACGCGCTCGGCAATGTACCACACATCGCTTTGTGTTTGCGCCGTGCGATCCCACAGGGCCGCACAGTCCAGTTTCGTCTTCCGCGCTGGGCCCCGCCGCCCCGGGCCCAGAGTCGCAGTAGCCGCCGCGTGCCGAACGGCCAGGCCGGCCGCGCCACACGCGCGGGGAGCGTTCTGACTCCTGAGCCGCCCGCCCCGTCCTTGTTTTCTTTCGGCCGCGCCCCTCCTCCCTCCTCCTCTCTTTGACATCTTCTCGTGGGTGGACGCCCAGAAAAGGGGTCTTTTGGAATGGCGAAATCAGAATGCGTCGCTGCGTGGCATTTCTTCGGCATGTTGGGCTGTTCAGAAGTCGCTTGGTGCACTCCGGGAAGCTGCAATACAACAGCTTCGAACAGTTTTTTCGGTGCACGTGTCCACTGTTTCTCGTCCAGGCAAGAGGACTTCTTGCATGGTGGCACAGTGCGCTCCAACTGGACTCCGCTTACGCCTTTCATCGCCAGCGCAGTCACCCTCTGCCTAGCCGCCGACGCAAACATAACATGTCGGTGCCGTGCATGTACGCAGCGCCAATTCCGCAGGCGGTGCGCATATTTGCTGTAGTTTCTATATTTGTTTGGGAAAGCCTCCGTATTTGAATACGTGCGCGGTATGTTTCCAATCGCAGGTATAACTTCAGAGGACGATTGATATTCGCCATCACCCACGTGTGTGTGCTCCTTCTTCGGGCCTGTGCATGTTGATCCCGCTCAGTGAGGACCACGGGCAGGGCGGAGATGCGACCCAAATGCCTGGAAACATGCGGTCGAGAACGCGAATGTTATTTATCTAGAATATCGCTGCGTGTCCGAGCGGCCCGTTCTGTAGCACATCATGGGAGCTGCTCGTGCCCTCGCAGTTCAGTTTTTAGAGCGCACTAACGTCGATCATCGATGGTATAACAGTGCCGAATCATCGTCGATGTGCGCCGATGAGCGTAGTTCTAGCGTCGACTGCGGTATGGGAGGCCCCCAGGAGTTGCCGCAGAAGGCGAGATGTATGCACCAAGTTGTCTGGCGGGTTACGGATTGAAGGAACTCGTGGAAGGATTCTGCGTTCACGCGTTCCAGCAGCCTACAGGCGGGGGAGTTGGGGTGCCTCGCATTGAGATTCCTGGCCAACCAGCCGAATTCATGTACCCCCTAGCGCTTGGACCCGAGCCTGCCTCTGGCGCATCCCAACATGATTCACGTTCTGAGGGCACTCGTCAGCGGCGGTACGACCAGAAATTGCTGCGCCGTCGGGGACGCGTGTCCCATGGCGGTTGTAAAGTTTATGCCCGTACGGTGGCATGTTTGGGATTCTGTCTTAAGCCGCCGTGGCGCATGCGGCCCTAACGGCGGACAAGTTTATCTTATACAGTCGTTCGTCCGTTAAGATTTGGCCGTCCGCGGCCCTCTCCTCCCTTCCCTCCCGGCCTTCCTTGCCGCCTCATTTCCTGATTCGCACCGCAGCAACCCTGCCGTAGCCACGACCGCAGATTGAATCCAAGGTGCCGCTGATCAGCAAAAATATACGCTGAGCGCCTCCCAGTGTGGCCTGCGGTGCCCAGCCGCTGCAGCGCCAGCTGGCTGGCTCGGGGGGTGCGCGCCCCTGCGCGGGCCTGTGATCCGGGCCAGGGCGGCGCGGGTGCACTCGCCGACGTTCTTCGAAGCTTCCGCTCCGTGGCGGCAGCGCCCAGCTGTTCCAGGCCTCCCACGTGGGGTCATAGGGTCCGAGCGCACTTCGTCGAAACATCGCACCGCATCGCCGATGCATCGGCGATGCTGCTCGATGTGGAGCCTTCATCTCTCCTCGACATCATGTTCCGATCCTCTGCCTGAGGCATTTGGCTTTACGCGCAGACTTGAGAACTTGCATTGGCGACTTGCACGGGTAATGTAGCATTGGGCAGCGCGTCTGCGCCGTGAGCTGTTTTCCGGGAGCCTGTTCATGTTTTTTTAGCTTCGGGCTCCCACTATCGAACTTCCGCGTGTGAGATCTCGTTCTGATAGCTACATGGTTCATGGTTATCCGTGTGCTTGAAAATAAGCTTGTTCTCTACTGCCTTGAGCCACTTAGCTAAAGCGTCGCTCCATTGAAAGTGATCAGGTGTTCATTCACGCACCCAGGACCTAGGTGTGCAAGTAGAAGTCGGCAGTGGATCCTGCAGAGCCGCAGTTTTGGCCCCCGGGCGGAAGCTGGTATGCAGATGATGCGTTCAGTGGATGATCAGGGGTATCCCTTCGCCGTGAGTGCGTACATCTACTTCAATTTCTCTTGGGACAAGGTGGCCCTGGACGGGTCGTGTGGCCTCGCGTGGTGACTGTGGGCCGTTGGGGGTTCATGGGGCACGACGTGCGTCATGCGTCAGGAGAGTGTTCAATTCATGTTAGGCTCGTGGTGCCGCTCTTGCTCCTGCGTTTGCTGCCGCTGCTGTCTCTGGGTTGTGGCAGGTTACCCGAGCTTGCGCGCGAAGGTCTCGGCCTTGCTGGAGCGTCTGCTGCAGGGCCAGGGACAGTTGAGGGGTCGCACGCATGGATTAAGGCGCGTGGATTAGCGACGGGGTCCGCGTCCGTACGAATCGTTGTCCTCCGTCACCAAACTGTCAGAGTAGAAAAATGTTCCGATACCGCTACCCTTTCATCGTTTTCGCCTTTTTTGGACCTCCTCGGAGTCCCTCGTCGCCACCGCTGGATTCTCATCGAAGTTCTGGTCAGACTGCTCCCCAGGAGAGGGCCCTGCAGTGGCCGTGCCAGTCCCTCCTGATTTCCCCAGGTGGGGCAGTGCTTCGTTCATATTTCGAGGGCTGCCTTCCCCGATCCGTGGACCTGTCGCCCACGCGCCAGAGTCAGGCACATGTCCCTCCACAGGAGGAGTAGTCAAACAGTAGTCTGGGTACGATCTTCGGACTGTATCTGAGCATTTGTTTAATGTTTTCCGCATTTTCCTGATATTACCGCGCGCAAGAGGCAGGCGCACCCCCAGAGAGAACGAGGCATGGCTCGGCGCTCGTCTGCTCGGGACTTCCCGCCCCCTGCACGTCCCCGCGCCCGTGGGCTGGTGCCCAGCACTGCAGGCAGAGCTCGAGCGGAATATCGCCGAGGTGTATGCCGACAAGGCCCGATTCGCAAGGGACAAGATGAGTCTCTCCCCTTTCTTGGTGAGTTTTCCACCACCACCACCAGAAGTTGGAGGGGCGAAGGAGGTGGGGGATGAGGAGGAAGAAGAGAAGGAGGACGAGGAGGAGGAGGAGGAGGAGGAGGAGGAGTAGGAGGAGGAGGGCCCCCTCCCCCTCCTACTTCTGGTGGTGCTGGTGGAAAACGAGCCCGCCATCCCTCTCCCTCTTTCTCTTGCTCTCTCCCTCGCTCCGCCTCCACGCCGGGATCTTCCACGACGTGCTGTGTTTTTGCAACCCGTGTTTTCATTCATAGTGTTCGGCCTTCGGCTGCCGTGTTTGGTTGGGGCCCCAGGGCCATCAAATTTGGGTGCGGGACGAACGTGAAACCACCAGAACCCCATCCGGGGAAAGCTTCCGATTGCATGGGCGCACTGTTTGGAATATTGCTTGATGTATGTCTTGGCACATAGCTTGGCAGATTTCTTGGCATTGTGTGGTATTGCTTTGCATTGCTTTTGATTGCTTTATCTAAAGGCTGCCGCCTCTGCCGCCGAGCCCTATTCAGCGACGTATGTTTGAGTCGTTTGCTGTCGGGGTGCCTTTCCGAGCACGGCAGGAGGGGTTCAGGTGAGACATCCAGGCTTGAGCCTCGCACCCTGGACTCCTGATCCTCTGTTGCACCTCTGTTGATCGTGGGTGTGAAGCTTATTCGATGTTCGTTGGGATTTCGTGGGGGACCCTTAGGGTGCCTCTTAGACGTAGAAGCTGTTGGATGAGACGATGGGCGCCGTTCCAATGCGCGAGATGCCGCGCGCGAGATCTTCTCTCTTCCCGTTCGGGGAGGGGTTTACCAGTCATTGCTCCGCTTTCACATGCACCTCCTCCCCCACCTGCCCGGCGACAAACCATGTCCACCCCACCCCCGCCACCCTTCACAGAAAACCGCACGAAGTGCACTTTGCGGCAAAATCTTGGGTCATGCTCGAGGTGTCTGCGAGCATGTTGAAATGATTTTGACGTTGACGGTTCGGGTGGCAGCACTTGGCCTGCTGCGCGCAGGGCCGCTGCCCTGTGCAACAAACAGCGCGAAGGCAATTTCGAGGCCAAATCCGGGTCATAAAAACATCTGATTTCTGATTTCGGCGCTGGGCACCCCTGGCGGCGCCTCCGGCGCCGTCCACTGCACGCTCCGCGCGCCAGGACGGGGGGGTCCCGCGCCGATTCGAAGTCCGCGCGAACTCCTGAAGGTTATGTCTACCAAAGTTCGGATCGTGCGCGGCCCCCCCCGCGATCCTTTTGCACTGAGTTTTGTGCAGGGGGACGGCGGGGCTGCGGGCTGCTGGCGTGTCGCCTGCGGTGTGGAGGCCCACCGCGCACCCGGGGTGCCGGGGTGGCCGGCCTAGCGCACCTCGCCCCAGCGTCGCGCACCTGGGCCCCGCATTGGTTCGCAGAGTCTGCCCATCCGAGCACTGCGGGCAATATTTATTTAATCGCTTCGCTCATTCCGCCGGCCCACATTGTATCGCTGGTGCTATATGTTTGTGTGTTCGTGGCGAGCGAGAAGAAGTTGGAGGAGGGGGAGGAGGAGGAGGATGAAGAGGGGAGGATGAGGACGAGGAGGCGGTCTCTCGATGCCATCCGAGCACTGCGGGCAATCTTTATATCCATATCCAGTGCGTCTTGGACTTTCTTGGAAGGGGCGCCGCAGGGCCGAGGCGCACTGGATGTGGATAAAAACATGAGACCCTTGGGGGCATATCAGAATCCATGTCCAGGGCGCCTCATGTTTCTTGGGAAGAGGGTCTGAAGCTCCAAGACGCACTGGATGTGGATATAGACATTGCCCGCAGGCACGACCGCCGAAGATGCATGGAGGATGGGGTGCCGTGTCTGTTTTCGGATGGGTGGTGGGAGTGACCAAGCAGCTTGCATTTGGCAGAGGTGTCTTGAGCCCTCCCCCTCCCCACTCTGGGTGTGGACGGGCATGATCGGGGACAGGTCAGAGCGTCCAAGATGGCAACGATTAGAAGGCGAACGTCATAGATGTTGCAAAAAGGAAAAGATGAGTCGATATTGCTCAAGTGGTTTCATGGCTGTTCCTCTATCCCTCCTCGAACACGCTGGGTCTTTTGGGGGCAACAAGGAGTCTGTTTTTTTATGGTCTGGCGATAACCTTTGTTATTCGGCTTGCCCCCCCTCCCTCCTCCCCGTAGGATAACGTAACCTTGCCGGTTGTGCAGGTCTGGGGTGGGGGGGCGCGGCCATATGCAGGGCTGCCCAGTGCGCGAAGGTTAGGTTATCGGCCGGCCCCCTCCTCCCACCCCCGGGGATAACCCGGGTTATCGCCGATCCAAACAAAAACGGTCTCAAGGGGCTTGGTTCATGTTCTGTCGTTCCTTATTTCAGCAGCCCGACTGTACCGGCGATGTATCGCCGATTCCGCGTCAATGTTCCCCCCCCACCCCTGAGCTGGCCGCCTGATGGTTTTCGGGTCATGACTCGGGCCTCTGGCGGCCGTTCGGGACGATCCGGGTCTCCGGTGGCACTACCTGTTGTGCAAAGTTTCCACCACCACTACCATATGTAGGACGGAGGTGACGGGAGGATGGGGAGGTCCTCATCCTTTTCTTCCTCTTCCTCCTCCTTCTCTTCCTCCTCCTCCTCCTCCTCCTCCTCCTCCTCCTCCTCCTCTCTCTCTCTCCTACCTATGGTAGTGGTGGTGGACAATTTGCCCACCAGTACCCGAAGACTTGATAACTTGAGCTGGCCGCCCCCCGTGTCGTTGACCCTCCACGGCACGGTGGCGAACCTCCCCGCCTCAGCGCCGCTGGCGCTCGTCCTTCTGTTGCAAGGGCGGGGGGGCCTCTTCTGTCCTGTAAGCGGCTGTGCCTTCCTGGTGCCCGACGTGTGTTCCACGCGCATCCGGCGCAGGTCGGGCGTGGACTCGGCACGGACTCGGCGCAGCTTCGACGCGGGTCGGAGGAGTCCGACACGGATTCGACACGGCTTTTGACGCGGAGAGGGGCGCGCGACGAGGCAGAAAGGCGCCCGCCCCAAGACATCCGGCCGATCCTTCTTTCAGGAGGGAAATAAACACACAGACACAATTAAGCGTCGAGTCCCAGGAAAATATGGGAAAATATGGGAATTGGGCGGGAAGACAAAAACCCAGAAAATATAGGAAAATATTGGGAATCATTTTCTTTGTGTGTATTTGTTTGTGTGTCCCAGGGCCCCTTCCTTCCTGCCTGGACGACCCCCGCGGCGCCAGCAGCCGACGCCGACGCCGGCACGGCACGCGAGAGCCTGCCGCACAGGGCGTGCCGACGGGGCTCCGAGGGCCACGGTGGTGCCCGAGGGGAGGCCCACGCCCAGGCTCTCTACGGCGAGGGGGGCGCCTCGGGCGCCCCTCCCCCGCCTTCCCGGCGCCAGCTCCCCCGCGGCACTCCTGCCAGGGCGCCGCGTGCCTGGCCGCCTCCGCTCCCCCGCCCCCCCTCCACCTCCTCTCCCGTCGGCCTCCCCTTCCCGTCCACCTCCTCGCCCGTCGGCCTCCCCTCCCCTCCCCCCCCTCCCTCCCGTCGGCCTCCGCTCCCCCGTCCCCCTCCCCCTCCACCTCCTTTCCCCCGCCCCCCTCCTAGGGGGCCACACGCGAACCCTACCCCTACCCCCCACGACGATTTTCTGAGGGGGAGGGTGGGGGTAGGGTTCGCATGTGGCCCCCTACCTCCACCTCCTCTCCCGTCGGCCTCCCCTCCCCCCCGTCCCTTCGACACCGCGACCGCGGCCACTCATCGGAGGCCACGCTTCATCCGTCGGCGGAGGCGGACACGGAACGGTTCTGCGCTCGGCTCCCTCGCTCAAGTTTGTGTTGGCAGGAGGGGGGTCCCGATGCGCTGTGCCTTCACAGGGTAGGATGGGTGGTCCCGGTGCACTCATGGCTGTCTTGTATAGACACGGCAACTTCCACCCCATGCTTGTTTAACAGGTGATGTGCACCGCTGGAGGCCTTTGCACCTGAAACAACGATTCTTTCTCACCCCCTCCCTCATGATTCCTCCCTTTCTCCCCCACCTGTCTCCCCCAGCGTTGCCGTATTGCCAGCAAATTGCGGATGGCAGGTCTTGGAGTTTGGATGTGCGTGGATAAGGGGGAGGAAGCTTCAGAGTTTAGCTGCTACCTTTACTCGGGGTCATGGCGCCTGGCCGAGAACCAGTGTCGGCAAATTGTCTGGTCTGCAGGTGCTGCTTGCTTGTCTCTGGACCCAGCCCAACGCAGCTTATCAAGTTGCTCTGCGACTTCTTCGTGGGGCCAGCACTGGCTAGGTGCACGCGGGGATCGGGCCCACAGCGCTCATTTCTGGGTCAGGCGCCCCTCTCTTGGTCAAGCGCCCGTGCTCGCCTCTTTGCTGGGCTTCCTTCACTAGTGCCTCCCTCACCACACCACCTCCACATGCACCTAATCGAGCTGCTGGCTCATTAGTCCAGCAAGGACAAGCGAGAGTGGGGGCAAGGGGTCTGAAGACCAAGGTCAGTTCAGTCGGAAGGGAAGCTGTAGCGCTACAAGCTTTTTAATGGCGATGCTATCGCCCAGATTTCTGTGCTTGCACAGGACAGCCGAACGTCTCACCAATTTCAGGCTCGACATTTCACACAACTGGTTTTGCGCGGCTCACCTGGGCATCATTCTTGACGCGCTGGGTGCGAAAACAAAAGACATCCAGCGATTCAATTTGTTCGGCATCTCCCTGGGGCCTCTGCACTTCCCTGGGGCCGGTTCTTCGTCCTGAGCCGTTTTTTGACGGTCCAGGGGCCCCCCGGAGGCCGAACATGGCCCAAACCCGGCAGGTCCAACATTTTTGAGCCTCGGCTCGTTGGGTCAGGCGACGTCCAGATGACGGTCGGCACTGGTCGGCAGCGGTCGGCAAAAACAGCTGCGGCGGTCTGAAACAAAAACGCTGCCGACCGTTCCGAACACCCGACCGCGACCGAAACCGACCGCGAACGCTCGGCACCTGTTTTTTCGCGGCAGTGGTTGTCAATCATCGGTCTGTCACGTTCGTTCCCAAAGTTCTTGGATAATGCATGATTTGGTTCGGTAGCCATTCATGGGGGCCTTGTATACCCTCGTGACTCCGTCTGTCGAGTGCACTAGCTTCGATCAGCCGTTGGTAATCGCTCAGCGTCTACGCAGCATCGATTAGTGTCGACTGCCTAGAGCCAGCAAGGTGGTATGTCGGCCACGCGCAGAGGGGGGTATGGGGGAGGGGGGAGGCTTCCTTGAAGCACGCCCGCGCCTCCGAAGGCGCGGGCCTTGTCTGCGGATGCGCGGCCTGTGTCTTCCAAGGAGCGGCCTCCTCTCGAGAAGCCTTCCCCCCCCCCCTACCACCCCTTGCGCGCGCCGCCGAGTCTGCGTGGGAGGCTCCCATCGACTTGCCGCCAGAGCCGGGGCCGCGGGCCGCGGGCGCCCGTCCGCCCCGCGACGCCCGCCCTGGCAGGCGCAGCTGGGGCAGGAGCTCTCGGCCGCCAGCGAGCGGGGCAGGGAGCTGCAGCAGGCGGCGGCGGAGGCCGAGGCCGCGGCGCGGCCAAGCGGCCCCCCCGGCAGGGGCCGAGCATCACCACCCACCAAACCACCCCAACCCAACCCGCAGGCCTCGATTTGCCCTACATTTCCAGTGGGGGGGGGGTCGGGGAACATAGAGAAAACACATATGGAACCCGTACCCCCCCTCCAACCCGAAATTGAGGTCTTCGGGTTGGGTTGGGGTGGTCTGGTAGGTAGTCAGAGCACGTGGCACGTGCTCAGGGAGGGGGGCCTCCTCGGCTCGCGTGCACGCGCCTGCATGGCTCGGCCCACGAGTGCTGTGCTCATGGTGTTGCAGCGAGCACCCGAGGAGCACGGGCACTCGAGGGTTTGCTCTGTCGGGCCCTGGGAGACGGCCGTCTGACACTGTTTCGACACTGTTTCGGGTGCTCGAAATGATTCCTGGGATGTGGTCTTGAAGCACGATCGGAGCGACATGATTCTATGCCCTAGTCTTGGGCACCACGATCCCAGACATGCGAAGATCTCATGCTTAGCAGTGTCGTGAGGCCCCCCCCGCCCCGGGAGTGCCCCGCCGAGGGCAGCGCCACGGGGCAGCGGGGCGCACGCGCTTCGGTTCCTGGAGCCGCCCAGCAGCGGCTCCTGGCCAGCGGGCAGCGTGGGGTCGGAGGTTCGAGGTGCCGGGCTCGGGCAGGTTTACGTCGGGCCTGCCCCATCTACAGGAGGAAGACTGAAAATAGTCAGGGGACGATGTTTGAGTTGCTTAGAATATATTTTTGTATTTTTTGACGAAGTTCAGGGTTTCGTCCAAAATTCCCCTGCAGGGGGACACGGCCGACCGACAGGTAGGAGGGTAGGTTCAGTTTGTCTTGTGCGGTCTCCAGGGGCCGTTTTCTAGCCCCGGGCCCGTCAAAGAATGGATCTGGGGTGGGAAACTACACCGGACGGACCATGGGAGGGGCCCGCGGGGACCAGTTTTGAGTGGCTTTGGCCTCATGCCCCCTCCTGGCAGATTTTCTGGAATTCCAACCAATTCGAACACCTCGGCGGCCTCCAACGTCAGGGGGCATCGGGGCGCACGTTTTTCAGATGGAAGAGCAAGATGTCATGATCATGATACGTTCCGAGGTTTCCAAGCTTTTCATGACGTCGGGGGTCTGGGTGACGGGGGTCACCGCTCCAATGGGTCAGCTAGAATCCCCTCGACATCCTCTGGCTCTTAGTGGGCCCTGGAATCGACAGGCCGCTGTTTTACCGGTTCCGTTCTGCCGATTGTTTCCCTGTTCCGACGCCCTTTTTTACCGGCTCCGTCGCCGTTTGTTTACCTGTTCCGACTCTGGAGCCGTTCTCGTTGCCGCTTCCGTTTTCAGGAGGCCCTTTTTTCGGCAGCGCGGAAGCAACGGCCCTGCCGTCTCCGGGGCCCACCGAGCTCTGGCTGGCCCTGGTTTGAGAGCCACGTGGGGCCGCCGCCGCTCTTCGGGGGCCACACGCGAACCCTACAGTCAAAAACCCTAATAAGGACGCGCGACTTTGCTCAGGGTACCCTTGCGTCCTTGCTCTTCCTTGCTCTTGCGTCCTTGGGTTTTTCGTCGTCCGCCGCCCCAAAAATCCCAACTTCGGCTTCCAAGGATCTTGCGTCCTTACTGCGCGTCCTTATTTGGGTTTTTGGCTGTAGGGGGCCACATGCGAAGTGAACCCCACCCTCCTCCTCAGGAATCGTGGGGCTTAGGGGTAGGGTCCGCGTGTGGCCCCCCGGCCTTCCCGCCCCTTGGCACATCGCTCGGACCTGTGCATTCTTCCTTCGGCGAGGACCCTCGAGGAGCATCCTCGATCCTCTGGCGAAAAAGCCACGCACGCGACCGAACAAAAACAAAATTCCAGGGACTCGACGCCCGAGCGATGGCCTGGGGCCCCCCGCGGGCCCAGGCTTGGGAGCCGCTCGGCGGCCGGCTTGGGCCTCGCGACAGGGGCCTGGGCCGATCCAGGGCTCGGCGGGCCCGGCTTTTGCAGGGCGTCCCCGACGGGAGGTGCTCGGCCGCTCGTGGCCGTCGTTCGATTCGTGCCCCGCCGTCCTGTGGCGTTGGGTTTTCGTCGTCCGCCGCCCCCAAAGATCCCAGCTTCGGTTTCCAAGGGTCTTGCGTCCTTGCCGCGCGTCCTCGTTAGGGTTTTTGACTGTTACCCCTACCGCCCGTGGGGGGCCGTCCCCTGGTGCTGGACCTCGTTCTGAAGAGGCGGCGCCCCGCGTGTCACCTCGCCTCGCCTCGCGTCCCTCCTCCCTCGCCTCGCGTCCCTCCTCCCTCGCCTCCCTCGCGTCCCTCGCGTCTCACCTCACCTCGCCTCGCCTCGCGTCCCTCCTCCCTCCCCTCCCCTCCTCCCGTCCCTGCCTCTGCTCGCCGCACGTCCACCACGTCGGCACACCCCTCACGAGGATCGTGGCCCCATAAGGGGGTTCCACCGAGAGCGGTGCCCACAGCGCGGTACTCACAGCTGCATATGGTTGGGTCCTTCGCTCGGATAACTGTTTTGCCGCTCGGCGCGGGCCCTCGTAACCCCCCCTCCCCCCCATGGAGTAGATCTTGGCTGTTTTTTGGCGCCTGAGCGGGTGGAGTCTCCCTCACGGGGCGCACTCCCGCAACCAGACGCGTTAAGGCACGACTTCGCGTGTCGGGGTGGTCACTATGGGGGTGGATGCTTTGACCTCTACAATGTCGAATCGCCGAACATCGCAGGCCTAGAGGTTGCCACCAACACCAAGATCGGATGTGTGCCTCCACCGAGGGAAGACGATCCCGATCTCGGTGATGGTGGTAATATTCTGGCTTCCAAGGCGACCGAAATATTACCACCAACACCGAAATCTAGGATCATCTCCCCCCTGTGGAGGCAACCCCCCTCTGTTGGTGTTGGTGCCAATTTCCAAGCCTCCAAGAACAAGAAAACAATTCGCTTTTTGTTCTCTCTCTCTCTCTGTGCTGTCCTCCTGCCTCGGGGTATACGTGCCAGCAGCTGCGCCTCGCCGATGGACTGTTCTGGGCGTGCCGAGGCCGCCCCGGGCGGCCGCGCGGGGCCCGAGCTGGGACCCAAGAAAAATCGAGTCGGGCCTGTCCTTCCACAGGAGGGATGTCCAAACATACTCCAGATTTCGTAAGAAAGGGAGGGGGTCTGGACCCTCCAAGACGAGCCATTTCAGACCTCCCCCGTGGGAGAACCCTCCAAAACATCGTCCCCAGACCTCCCCAGGCCCTCCAAGATGGCCTGGAAGAGACCCCCCCTGAAATGAGATCCCCCTCCCTTTATTACGAAATCTGGAGTAGTCAATCATGGTCAGGGGACGATGTGTTTTTGATTCTGCTCTGACCATTTTGGTGTATCTTTTGGGTATCCTTACGTTTCCGCCCAGCATCCGCCTGCAGGGGGACACGCCGAGAGCAAAACCAAACCTTCTGTCGCCAGCATAGTTTCGAACCAAACATCCGCCCAACATCCGCCAGCTTCGAACCAAACCTTCTCTCGGCAGCACAGGTTCTCTCAGAAGGCGATAGGGTTCCTCAGCAGCCCTCTGGCCTTCTCGGAGGCCCTCCTGCGGCTTCCGAGGAGGCTCGCCAAGGCTCTCTTCCGACGGCCAGAGGCACTCGGAGCCTTCTCCGAGCGGCCGCCCGAGGCCCAGACGGGCTCCGGAGGACACAGCGGTCCCAGGCAGGCTCGCGCTGCGGCAAGACTTTCCGACGGACGGTTTTGGGCCGGTCTCGTCCTCCGGGGGGCCCTGCCCAGGCCCCGGGAACACAGTGGAGGCCCATGCCAAGAATTTGGACGCCCGAAATGGGTACGGAAAGAATTGGTACAATGCCCAACAGCGGTTCCTGTTCATTTTGAACAGGACTCGCTGTCGGTGTCGCCGCTGCCTGTGTACATTCGAGACAAGCGGCCGCCTGCCCAACAGCGGCCGCTGTTGGTTTGGGACAACATTTGTTGTTGGTCATTGTACCCATTCTTTCCGTACCCATTTCGGGCGTCCAAAGAGAAACACCCTGCTTGCCTCCAGGGTGCCCTGGGTTTCTTGGGTTTCGATGGCTATGGAAAGCCTGACGTCCCCACACCAAACATCACTGGGCCTCCTGGGGTCTCAGGGTTGGGGCTTCTCGTGGAAGGTTTCTCGTGGACGGGCCTCCACTGTGTGAGGGAGCTGCTTGGGCCGAGAAGGCGGGCCCTGGGGACGGGCCCAGACCTTTTGGGAGCCGCGCGGGACTGCGTCGACGTGCGTCAGCTTCCCGCCGCGAAGGTCACGCGTACGCGCTGTATCCAATGTAGCGTGCCGCGCGTGCGGCCTGCGTGAGCCGCCGCGCAAGGTCGCGATGTGCTCTTGCGTGAGACCCCCTGTCTTCTTGTCGCTCAGACGTCTGGGGAGCGCACGGCCCAGCGGCATCATCTCCACGACGAAAAGGGTGAGGAGGTGGAGGACTGGACCACGATGATGCGGGGGCCCTGAATTCCGGGCGTTGCTTTTTTTCATGCTGAGCGTTTTCGCACGGTCTCGGGCCCTGGGGCAGTCGCAGATCGATCTGGTTCGAGAGGTGCCGCTGCAAGGGGCGGTCTCCAGAGTTCCAGCTGTGTTTGTTCCGTGGTGCTGCGATGATGCTCGCAGCGTCTGATCTCAGGATGGGTCCTCGTTAAGCCGCGTATATTCGGGGGACCTCGTCGTCCCGAAAGTTGGCGTCTTCTCCACTGCCCGACGCGGGCTCGCTGCAGACTCGACCCAGACCTGGCGTGGATTCGACGCGGACTCGAGGAGCAGCCTGGATTTTCGACGCGGGCTCGGCGCGGAGAGGCGCCCGACCGGACAGGCGAGGCCCCCCGAAGACGCAGCCAGATGGTCAGGAGGAGGGGGCAGGGCTCGACCCCTTACCACCACTGCTACTACTATTGCCGAGTCTTGTTCACATCAAGGCTTGGTCGAGCGTTTCGACTTGCTCGACTGTCACTGTTTCTGGCTCGGGCACGGCTACCTTATTTAATCGCTTCGCTCATTCC